CTCTCTCTCTCTCTCTCTCTCTCTCTCTCTTTCTCTCTGTCACGGATATGGCTTAAATATATCGCAGTAACCGCGGCAAACTCACTTTGTAGCCGTATATCCGTTTCGTAGATGCGACTACGTGTGGCTTTCGGAACCACCTTACGAGGAGGTTTCCGGCTCGCCCTTCTGTGGATTGTACGCACCAATCACGTACAGATCGAGCACGAGAACTCTGTCTATAACTCTACTCTACAGCCAATCCCACAAGCACGCGTTCACCATCGAGTACACGGCAGAAAGTTAGTAAGGATAATTAACGTACTAATAATTTTGATGTGAGTTCACATCAATTTTTTAAGAGCTGCGGCACGCATTTAGAATCAACACTAATGGCCGAACACAAGCATAATAGTCTTCAGATATATAATCGCATTGAATGAAACGTTAAAATAGCACGTGGAGCCCTAATTGGATTAAAGAATTTAAAATCCTATATTCTATTTGCGGTAAATCTCAATTCTATTTGCGGAATCTCGTAGAGGGTGCCAACGCGAATTTCTCGATACGCCTTAACGTAAATTCGTCCATCGCGCGGCGATATAAATGCTTTTTTTTTCTAATCGAATGTCAATCATGACCGCGGCGCGGACCAAGTATCCTGGAATCGACGCTTTCGTTCCGCAGGAAATAGATTACATCTGAAAGGGACGGAAATGACATCGAGAGCGCCGACAAAGGGTTTGAACAGGACCGGCAGTGGTATTCTGACCTCGCCGTTTTTCCCGGCTCGATATCCCCGCGACTTGGGCTTGGAATACATCATAACGTGCCCCAACGAGGCCCCCTCCTGTCGCATCAGGTTGTTGTTTAGCGACTTTCAATTAGCGACGGTCTCCATAATGGAGGTGCATTTCTAATTATCTTTTAATTATACAGTCAGTAGCAATTAGAGAAACTTTTGTGAAATGAATCAATGTCAAATCTTTTTTGAGAAACTTTTGTCACGAAAGGTCTGCAACATTTTTTGTAAAAGTAATTAAATAATATGGTTTGCAAATCCAGAAAATGCTTAAGATATTAGACCGTTTTCTGGATATTAAATTTTCTTTCGTGTAAACAATTCCGTGAAGAAGATCTTCGATTTTGTTTTGAATTTTCAAGGATCCTATGGCAAGTTAAGACGTAGAATCTATGTCTGATTAATTTTTAAAGAATTTTACGTATCGCCATACGTTGACGCTTGCGTGTCAATTTATCGTCATCAGTTTTACGATTGGAACGGACAACGTTTGGACGTGAGTAGCGGTGCGCGATTTCGGCCGCCGGTCATAGTGAGCTCCGGTCCGTCTTTGCTGATAAGATTCTATGCGAATGGTGGTACCGGTCTTGGTTACAAGGCCTTTTACTCCTTTGTGATCGGCCATACGTACGACAAATCCGTACAACCGATCACCGACTGCGGCGGATACGTGGAAAATTTGGGCGGTACCATCACGATGATGAACATGGTCGGTCGAGGAGTGAAGATCTACGATTGTGTTTGGCTAATCAGACCACCGAAGAATTTCCTGCATATGAAGACGCACATGTATCTGAAGGTAGTGGGTTTCGCTGACATGGGTGAGTTGCCAACCAAAATACTTAATTAAAATGCGTAACAAAACGAGAAAAATTGAAGCGAGAAAAATTGCGTGTCCACAAACGTCTCGTGGAATACGTGCAAGGCGGAAGTAATCGATGAAAGTAACAGAAGTCGGATATAAAACTTTTTTCCTCTTATTTCTTTCAATCAATTTGAATTAGTTAATCCTTTCAATCCTTTCCCGTTACCCGGGAGAAACGAAATTAATGTGATTCTCGGCGACTGCGAGAAATTGGTTTTCTTTTCCACAAGTACCGCGCTATTACGCTGGAAAGAAAATTTTCGCTACCGTACACGGAGAGACCGATATGGTTACCACATGTCTAATTAGGATTGGCACAACCCCAATAAATAGTAATATTTGGGACAGCTATATCTATGGTTGTTATATCCATATTGGTTAGTGGAGACAACTATATGCGTTTTGTGCAGCAACCTTCGAAAATATCGGTCTCTCCGTGTAGCTGTCCATATTTTATAACCGAATTTTAGTTGCCACATGCAGTTTTCAGCTACGGCAGTTACATTCTTCTTTCCGTGTACAGCGCAATTATTTTTCAGCCGGCAATACGGAGTTGATCATCAAGGAGGGTCCGACTTCGGCCCTGATGTCGCTGGAAGTTATTCGACATCCGGCGAGTCAGTTACAACCGCTCAGACATCGGGAACACGTCGCGCCGGTCACCAGCGGATTCCACGTGAGTCTTCGTGGTACATTCAGTCCAAGTTCTCACTTGGCGATCGCTTATGCGGCCTTCAGCTACATGGGTGAGTCTGTCCTTGATGGAGACGAGTCGCGGGATAATTTCGTCTCATTTTAATTAAGTGCATGTTTCGTTTGTCTCTGATTGAATCGAATGTTACAGATTGCTTTGCGGGTACCGACTTTCTTTGTCAAAATCACAGGTGCATTCTAAGCCAGTTGAATTGCGACGGTTTCGACCATTGCGGTGACAACAGCGACGAACCAGCGACTTGCTTTCAAAGTACGTATCTTCAATTCTGAGCAATTAGAGATTTGACTTGAAAGAGACTTCAAAAATGGTTAAAGTTACTTTGGATGCAAAGAAAATGTTGTCAAGATCATTGACAACGTAAAAACACTCTTTTAAAGCGAGATAAACGTGCTAACTGCAGCAATAAGTATTTAAATATGTATAAAATCTTTAATAACTTTAAGTTTATATCTTTAAATAATAACCTTTTACAATACGCATTTTTTATACGCAATGTGTTTAAATACATTATATACAATATAAGTAATAAAATAAATACACTAAATACAATATAAGTAAATACAATATTTAAGAACATACAAAAATATAATATATTTAATTTGTGCTGCTTTTAATTAAAAAATTTTTAATTTTTCATTTTATCCGTAACAATCGGATGATTTAGTTGTGTTCTTTTTATTATGAATTGCTTCTCAAATAAAATGTCATGTACAGATTGGGAGATGGAGCCGCGTGATCGTAAGTGGCATATGAACAAAGCGAATTACTACTTTCCGAAAATAGATCGATATCCCGATCTGAAAACGGCCACCCTGGTATTCGTTGCCAGTAGCCTCGGCCTGATCGTTCTAATATCGGCTCTCATTATACTGCTGTACAGAATAGGAGCCAGGGCTAGGCAACAAAGAGAACTGCAGTCTCGTCTGGAAACAATCAGCGAGCTTTTAGGTAGGCGTTTCCCTTTGCGGGAAAAAAACTCGTTTAATTCGGAATCCCGACACTTGTAGTACGTTTGCTCAAAGTAAGAAAATTACTCGAAAGGAAGTTATTTATTTGGAAAGATCGAATCAAGAGCGTGACGAAAACAATATATTTCTTTTAAATTATACAAAGTGCAACAGGAAGATCTGACATACAATTTCTATTTTAAACTTACGGAATTTATAAGCTACGTTGACTCATGATTTGTTTTGCAGAATTGAGAAGAACAAAAACTACTTCATATTAATGCAATATATATAAAGAGAATGATGTTTTGTTTTCCTACTGTTATTATTTTATAGAAAATAGAAACACATATCTTATAAATTTAATTGTTACCTTTTAAAAGTAAAACAAACGCGACCGATACACTTTTATTAGGTTGTGGATGCAAAAATTACTAGACGTCGCAAATTCCAAATAAAACTCGGGACACATTAACTGCTAATGGGAGATGGCTCCCGTAAGCGAGTGCGAGCAAAACGTCTCTCACGTCACTCCGGACAGTTTTTGATATTACAGACGGTGCACGGATCGATGAAATATCTATTCCGGACGATCCACCCGGCTACGAGGCCCCGCCGGACTACGAAGAAGTCGCCAAGCTCGCCTTGTCAAAGAAGGCTCAATGCTTGAACCGCGACAGAACTCGTAACAGAAACTCTCTGAACCAGTAAGACGGTCCTTTCTTTCATTCTATATTTCATACAAGCAGGGTTGGGAAGTAACTCGTTACTTGCAACGAAGTTACAGTTACAGTTTTTCTAGTAACTCTAACTTTAACTTCGTTACTTTCTCTCCATCTGTAATTGAAACTGACCTCAGTTACATTTTTCCGATAGAGCTAGTAACTAGTTTAATAGTTACTTTATTTTTTAAACAGCCATAGATCGCATTTTCCCAAACCTTCATACAAGATATTTTAAAATTAATGAATGAAATTGCAAGGACAAATCTTCGAAAAGTTGTAATTGTTGCAACAAAGCTTATTTATTGCAACAGTTTAATTTCCCTATGTCAACATTCTATAAAAATAATAAATATTTCAGATTAAATATAAAAAAAATAGTTTTATTTTTCGATTTTTATTCTTAAAATTGAAATTAATTGTATCTCGATATTCTTTTTCTCCACAATTTTCCCTTGCAATTTAATATAAGGTGGTCCATGATTTATTAACTAAGTAGTTCATTATTATACACGTATTTTGATTGGTCAAAACTTTCTTTAATTTGTAATTGAATAATTAAAAATAATCTCCTGCGGATACTTTGATGACAAAATCCTGCTAATCAGATTCTGATTGTTTCAAAGCTGCACAGTTATCCCGAATTAAATTGTAAATTTTGTTTTAAATTAAGGCACGACGAGGACGTGAACTCTTCTACTTATTTGGTCGTGGAGGGCGCGAGCAACGGTTGTAGCGACCAAACGAATACGGTAACATCGAGAAACGATCGACGTGCGCTAGGTATCCCCGAGAGTCCGCCGCCTCCGTATATCACACCTCCAGGAACGATATTGAGAAACGTGAACCTAAGTAATTTATCAGCGTCAATGAAACAAATTTGCCCCGTTCGTCGCACTTGGTTACGACGCAGCGCGCAATATCCTCAGTCCTCTTCTGGCGATCGTCCACCTCCCGAGAGTCCAGCCTCACTCACGAATGTCGGAGCTCTTGGTACAAGTCGGGCGGATTGCGTCGCTTCGGGTACGAATCGACAGTCGGATAATTCTCCGAAGGGGGTCCGGATCGTACGTGAAACTGTCCAAGAAGACACAGTCGTATCGGAAGAGAACAGCCGAAACGTTTCAGAAGAGAATTGCGACGAGCAAGTTGACAAGATTTCTTGATTTTTGTATGGAGAGGAAAGTCCCCAATTATGAGATAGCGGAGTTTCTGCTAAATTAATAGGCATCATTTGTTGGTTCCACCATGAATTTATTGCCCTTGAAGTGAAGTTTGTTCAGTGGAAAATTGATCGTTAGATCGTGTAATCGTTGCGAAAAAAGATTTGTGATTGTATTTGGACGTTGAAAACCTGCTATCTCATATTAGAATCTTATCTCATAACAGAGGACTTTCCTACATATATAATATTATATATTTTTATTTTATTCTTATTGTCTTTATATTGAATTTTTATTGAAGAGTTGACAGTTTGGACGGGAGGAACGCCTGCAACTGCGAGGGTGCGTGCGGCTGTGCCATTAGCTGCTCCAATCTCCCAGTCGGCAATCAGTCAGCATCTGTGACAAGCGTCGAAGATCGTGAGATACCGGAATGCAATCAAACGGCGATCGTGTCCTCTTCCGCGAGGAAGATCGATGGACATCAAGAGGAAGATTTCCCCCTCTCTAAGAGAGCTATTGTCAAGCTTCTGGGGTCTAAATTGACGAAATCGTCTCATCATAGCACCAACTTGACAGCTGCCTTGTCGCCTTGTGGCACTTTACGTTGTTCCTCCAAGTTCTTCCGCGACAGCTGCGTTAACACGACCAGCAACAGCTACGACAAGCTGCAGGACGATTTCAACATTGTATCGGAAGCGACCAGCGGCGTCGGATGTATCGGTTCCAGAACGACGGTGAACACGCCGAGCGGTACACCGAAGAACATCAATGGATATCACGGGCATTGCTGCGCTCGACGACACTCTAGCTGCGATCTAGACAGTCTGTACGAAGGTGTCAGGGTCCTCGACTCGTACCTGGCACGCAGAAGCCCCAACATCGGCCACGAACACCGACAATCGGTCACTATGATACTATTTGGTACACCAAAGCACGGATCCACGTGCAATCTAATCGCGTTGTCGCGACAAACGAGGCGAGAGAGATACATGCGCGCTCGTACTTGGCGTTCGAGTGAAGATGCCTCGTCGAGTTAATTCATTCTCACGTTTGCGATGGAGCCGATCGACAACAGAAAGGTAACGGATCAGCAGTTGTGATAATTTTTTTGACGAACAGAGCAACGATTGAACAACCCTAGTAGCACAGCGCCTTGGTTAAACATTGACCCAATACAACCAAAATATTGGGGCAATGTTTAACCGATGTTTGATGAATGCACTATGCCACTAGGGAAGATAGATTGACCCGCGCATCGGAATTTACTAAAAATTAGTTTATCGAAAGAAACTTCGCCGGTAACGCATTAAAAATACAAAATCGGAAGTAATGCATAATCTTTGGTAATAATTATGTATATTCTTGTAGATTTAATTGTTGAATTAAATGCCACATTATTTACAATTAGATTACAACTTTGCAGTATAGGTACACGTATAAAAAAAAACGAAAGAAGGTAAAAGAAAACGCTTACGTATAATATTCTTATAATTTATTACAAAGTTAATTTGTTCATGATTGTGAGTAAAAATAATTTGAATTGTACATTTCCCAGCTTTAGTCAAAATAAATACCAGGAAAGTTATGTTGCTTATAAAAAAAATTAACATCTACTTAAAAAGGTAAAAAACTTCTGTACAGTTATTGATAATTAAATGCTACGTAAAATAAGTTTTTAATAAAGATTACAATTATCGAGCGCAATCGCACCATATATCATATTGAACTCTGTGACAGTCTCATTTTTAGAAGAAAAAAAAAAGAAAAAAAAGACAAGAGAAGGTGGGTGAGGTAAGAAACGATTGCACGTGACATGGCGTTAGTAATAATTTAATGGTTTACCGTAAAAATACACTATCCCCAAAGACGTATACGCGAATCTGTGCAAATATGATCCCCGAGCTAATAATTCCATTTGTGTCTGGAGAATCGTCGAACGATACGCGGTAAGTTTGCGTTTGTCTTCGAAACTGGGATTAAAAACGCCTGCTCAAACAATGCGATGCTTCTAAACGCTTTTGGCAATTATATTCTACTTCTGTCACCTAAGGAATTCGCTTTGACTTGGCTTGGCTGACTCTCGACGTGGATCCTACGTCTCCAAATAATGACGAAGCATTCGTTAATTACACGACTTTTAATTAGACCGAGACTTACGTCCACCTGCTGTTCGGAATAAAGCGCGCGTAACGTCGTAGTAAAATATATGTCAAATATTCATTGGCCTTTGTCTTCAGCTTACACATAAAGTTCCATACTTCTCGTACGCGAGCGATTCACACACTTTGTAACGAAATGTACAGAGTTTTTGTCTCAGACCCCCAAAGAATATCTTAGGGACAAATCTTTTGGTAAACTCGCGACTGACTTTGCGAACCGAATATTAAGAGATCCGCCCGTTGGGGAAAAAACTTGTCCAAGAAATTTGTCTCCGAGATATTAATTGGCAGGTCTGGGACAAGCTATAAATTTATTATCTGGGCTCGTTCTCATTATCACGCTACTATCACCAAAATATTGTCATATTTTGGTTCGCGCTCGTTCGTGCTTGCTTTCGCTTAAGCTACGATGTCTCGTAGAGCAACGTAAAATCTACGGCGCTCGGACCGTCGGTGCGGGAAGTAGAGAAGTTCGGTTTCGACCCTCGGTTAGCACAGAACGGATTTGGCACTTGTTGTAGGACAGGCACACGCGTTACACTTACAAACAGCTAATGCCTTGTGATAACACATTCGTAAGAGGGGACGAGCGTCATGAACACCACCACATTCATCCTCTCTTCCGGATATGTTCTTAGCTCTTTCACACGCCTACACCGTACTTAAGCCTTCATGCATCTTTAACGTACATCGATTCGAACGAAGTGTCGCACATCTCGCGATCGATCGAAGGCGCAACGATACGTGGAAAATATTCCCACCTGTGCGGTGACCCGCGCGTCTCCGATAAGATATGTACGATAGCGCAGTGCACCATTAATTGTACGACAAATTACCGAGGTGCGGAATTCGGATTTATTTCTCACGCAATGCGCGCTCCGTCACGATCATTTCTTCGCCATTAAACTACACGAATGTGGTAGAGTCTATACAAGTCGGCCAATTGTCAAAACTTCAAATCCAGAATCCAAACAAAATCCAGAATCGCGCGAATGTATAATACTTTTGAATACCATAGGCATACCTTTTTATAAATTTAGTATCTCCTCAGCTTTTTGTTTAGTAATACTTTTGTAGACGTGCGCAGCATCGCACGTTTCTCAACGTAATCCATAATTTTTGGCCTCTTGCTCGTACTCAAGTTTCCATTCGTTAACGGTAACTTTATTTGGAGAGATCAATACATTCCTTGGTATCGAACCGACTATCATCGCTTATTATTGCGTAGCTATGGCTTCAGAAAGAATCTAGTCTCGGCTAGTTTTGGTAAACAAAAGTATGTCCGCATGCATATGTATATCTGCACTCAGGTCCCTAGTTCCTTGGAATGAGGCAATCAACTTTTGTGTTTGATATGTACCAAGCATATCAGTAGAACTATGCCTCACGCATTTACTCGTTAAATAGAAATAGGTTTAAAATCGTCGAGCGAAAGTAAATATTTAATAAAGCAATTTCGATCGACCGTTGCGGAGACACGTGTCGTAAAACTTGTTTTGCGATTCGTTATGCAAACGTGCGTCGCGAGATCTTACGTTTCAGACAAATTACACTGGTCTACAAAATTGAACTCATTTTCTACCCCAGAAACGAAATCAGCCAATCTTTAGTAAAAATCATTTTAAGCCTTCAAGTTGCCAGAGTTAAAATATCAAATTAAATAATAAATCGACCTCAAACTAGCAGACAAAATTTTTTTATTTTACAACGAAGAAATTTTATTTTTCCTTGCGAAATAAAAAAATTTGTCTGCCTGTTTGAGGTCGATCTATTATTTAATTTAATCTTTATTAATTTCAGAATGTGTCAGTAAACATTTTTATTAGTTCTAGTTTCGATGATATAAAGTTAGAAAGGGTTGAAATTCGCAAAAATTGCTTTTTTGGTTGATTAAAACTTTATAACAAAACATGATACACGATTCAAAAACATTTCTAAAGAAAGCTCGTATCTTTTATTTTGTCAAGAAAAAAATTCAAATGTTTTACTTTATTTGCGAGGGATTGTGCCCAGTGAGAAATGATTCGTCGATCGAAACGACGTCGAATCGACATCGACACCGTCGAATTGACGTCGATTCGACATCATTTCGACGTCGATCGACGAATCATTTCTCGCTGGGTGTAAGTTTGTTTGTCTAATCAAGTTCAAAATCATTTCAGGGATGCAAACATTACATTTGCAAAAATTGAATTTTTTCTTGATAAAACAGAAGATAAGCTTTCTTCTCAATCGTTTTTGAGTCATTTATCACGTTTCGTTGTAACGTTACAGACCTCAAGAGCGGTTTTGGAGACTTCAAACCCCTATCTATATCATCGAGACTAGAACTAATAAAAAATGTTCACTAATACTCGGATTTAGCGACCCCGAATTATTGATTCGTCAATTTTCCGAGGCATTTTCGTTATAGACCAGTGTTGTTTAAAGCAACGTTTGAATATTTTTCGCCGCAAAGTATTTTCAATTTGGGAGTCGCTTGTTTTCTAAGCAAGTTATACATTTCCAGCTTAAAATAGTTGACTCCTTTCTGCAACGATCGCGAGTCGACTCGTCGAAACGCTAATGAAGTACAAAGTCGCGATAACGCGTACAAAGCCTTGAAACTTGAGTGGGTTCGCGATGTCTACTTGACGCAGTGACAATACTGCTTCATGCCACGATTTAGACACCTGGCGCTCACGGCGTAAGGGTTGATTCTGCTGACCTCGCTGTCGGATAGAGTGTAATTGCCGTCGCCGTAATACCTGATGGTCACCTCGAAGTTGCCGTTGCCGGGTGCCGTCTGAAGCATGTAGAAATACGCGACATTGGACGGGCTATCCATACCGAAGTCGATCACCTGGTCCACCCGGTGCACCTTCTTCAGCTTGAGCTTTGCGCACAGCCGCCGGCCCTTCTTGTCCTTGTAATTTTTCACGATGCTCTCAACATGATCCAGGAACTTGTGCACGCCACCGGCGACGATCCTGTCGTTGACGTTGACCGACTTGAAGGCCGTACAAGTGCACCAATGATAAGCCACACCCGCGTCCTGGCAGCCCCTTTCTCTGGGGACGGGGGTGAACAGGGACTGGCAGGTAGAACATCCCGAACTGAAATCGGCGTCGCCGCCTGCGATAACGAGGACATCCCGCAGCGTCTCGTAGAGATCGAAGGGCGAGGTGAGTCGGTTCTGATTCACCGCGAGGGCTCGATGGGCCTCGGGATTCTCTCGGCGGAACCATTCGGGCAGCCAGATGTAGATGTACGGTAATCTCTCCTCGTACCAGCCGACGAAGGTGTTGCGAAACTCGCCCCAGCGCATGCCGTGGTCACTCAGGAAGACTATCATGGAGTCGTTCAGCATTCCCTCCTGTTCCAAAAACTCGAATCTCTTCAACACGCGGGCGTCCATCGACGAGATGCTGTTCATGTTATCGTGGCTGATCGTGTTCGTCCAGAAGAAACCAAAGTACGGCACGCCGACGAAGGTTTGGGCAAAGTTCATGGCGTAGTCGAAGATCCGTTCGAAGCTCAACTCGGGTCCCGTACAGTATTTCATGTTGAATCTGCAAACAGCGCGGACAGAAATCTCTTCAGTGCAAAAAGATCAGGTTGCTTTTTGAACGGTACATGGAGAGAATTTTCTCTTAAAATTTATCCTGAAAATCATATGAATGGGATGTTGTGGGACAACATCGTGTTGTCCCAAGATTACATAATTTTCAGGATAAATTTTAAAAGAGAAAATTCCCTCCGCGTAGTTATAAATAATAGTACTTACAAAATTAAATTTCGTTACCTTTTCTTGATTTTGAGAAGCTTCTCGCTGGCCAGCATGTAGGGTCTCAAGTAGTAATCCGTAGGCGGCTCGACGAAGCCGACCTTGAGGTAGTTGAACGTGTTCAGGATGGTTTCATCCTCTCCGTAGGCCGTGACGTAGCCGGCGTTGCGAAAGTTGTGCCAGAGGAAGGGGCAGTTGTCGAGCTTGTAGGCCACTGTCGGCTTGCACCGCGAGTACGCCTGCTGCGGGGTCTGACCGGTCAGGATCGCCATCAGATTCGGAAACGTGTTATCGCCGATCTTGTTGTAGCCCTTCAGACCGATCCAGCCGGTCTCGCGCAGATATCTCTCGGTCTTCGGCATGGCCCGGTAGAAGTTCAGCCGACTGACACTGTCGATGCCGAGGACGAGCACGCTTAACTTCCTCGAAAAGTTTCCGGTTTGGTTGCCGTTGTGATCTATGCGCTCGCGTACCTTCTCCGGGTTCAGGATCGCGTGAACGTTCTCGTATACCGTATTCGTCGACTGCTTCGCCTTCTTCGTCTTCGCTTTTGGCTTCGACTTCGTCTTCGCCTTGCATGACACGTACGCCACCTCCACTTCGCGCGGAAGCACCACTTGTCCCGTGAAGTTCTCGCACTGCTTGACTCTATTGGGAAGAAATGATCGTGTTTTTACCGGGGAAAAAGTTCTAAATTTATAGGACAAATAGCTTGCGACTCTCCTCAGGTACAGTTTTTTTTAATGCCGTATCTAATAAATAGACAAATTAATTCTTGCCCTAATTCGTTGCTCAGCTGACTAAATTTTGTTTATTCAAGGAATAGTCATCTTAAGATGACATCGGAATTTTTAAGGCATAGAGTGACAATGATAAATCTTACGATATCGTAGAGTCGTAGTTGTCCTTCTTGGGCCTATCCACTTTGGGCCTGACTACGGACGACCAACAGCAGGCGACATCGCTGTGCATGGTCTTTATGGCGGGATCAAGGGAAAGAAACACGCTGCCGTTGGGTTCCCTCGAAATTTGCGAGAGGACGCGATCGTTCGGGCATTTCTCCAGTTTTTCCTTCCTCACGAATCTCGCGATGGACGGTTCCAGAGGCTTTTTGGACAGCATGTGACATTTCGGGTTCCACACGAGGTAACCATCCACCATGCCTATTGCCGAACATAATCCGCTGTAATACCGCTGACCCCGTTGTTACATTTCGATGACATGGGGCGATAGGGAATAAGCGACGCTTTCATGAGGAACGAAAGCATTGGACAGCTGTGAAAACATTTTGGATATCCAAGATGTCGTCAAACGAAACATCCGCGCGTTTATGTATGCTCGTCTATCGTTAAATTAATTGTTTTACCACATCAAGTATGGCATCGTTCATAAATAGTTGACGATCGATGACAAGACACTTTACTTCGCCAATATAAACTTATCAATATTTTAAGGATATCGAAAAGACAAACTTATCGTAATCAGTTATTGATATATGATTTTTTAAACACTGACGTTAGTAAATCTTGCCTTAAATTTTTTATAATATGTATTTTTATAACATATCGCACAAGTTATCGTGACATAAGTAGAAGATTGGCACGTTTACGATCCGCGAGAGTGCGAATGTATCATTTATACGTTCAAAAAAGCGATAAGAGTTTCAACAGTGTAAATATTTGGTTTTTTCGTAACTGCAGACTAGACTGTTTCTGTGTGATGTATTTTAAAGTCCATAAGACAACATTATCTGTTATACTTTTTTAAGTTCACAAGATAATGTTATCTCAATACATGTGAGTCATCGAATTATGAACATATTAATATAGGAATTGTTGCATTAAAATTGTTAACATAAATGCGTTTTCTTGTACAAGTAGGTTTCCACTCTTAAAAAACGATGTGAAAGTTTTAGCGCCGCTTTACCACGATGCGGTCTCCAGTTTGGCTTATTTTATATTGTAAGAGTAACCGTGAGAGTAAAACCGTGTTTTGACAGCTGTCGAACAGATTATTTGCTACAAGCAGATTTTGTGAATAAGTTTTTATAAAAGGAGTGATTTTTTAAACTTTAATTTTATATACACACATACTACGATTAAAAATTTTTTCGGTGTGTGACATAAACAAAGCTCATAAATTAAAATTAAGAAAAAATTTATTATTTGCGATGAGCTGTTTTATACATTTTGTATAAAACTATATATTCTTTCGAAAGCAGCCATGTGTTTGTAACAATCACTTTGTTTTAGTGTTTTGTACATAAACGTATTAACACACACGCGGGAAAAAAGAGTATATGTGCATTAAGGAATGACATAACGCGCTTTGCAATGTTTAGTAATTTAAATAATTTTTATTTTAAGTGTATTGCGAAATATTGTAAGGTAATCGAGATCGAGAGCGACTTCTGGCGCGCTTACGATCACGCGCGGCACCGTCGCGGTGGAAAGTTTCAATAATAGAAATCCCGATACAAGTTTAAGTACGTAAATACTGTTTAATTATACTTGCACTTATTACATGAAAAGAAGCTATTCTATGGCAAACAAAAGTATGTACTCATACAACTATAAAGTATGAGCCTCGGGAACGAGAACGACCACGCGCGATACTGTCTCGGTGCGAAGTGTCGGTTTACTCGCTAACGGCCGATGCCGCGGTTTCCTTTGAAGGCTCTCGAAGGATACGCCCGATTTTGTACACGGTTCCTTCGTGTGTTTCCGCGGAGCACGATATTCGGAGCAGCACGCTTTCGGCGCGTGATACCGTGCTCTTTTCGACGCGCCGTAACGCTCGCGTACGATCGGTGGCACAGGTGCCTTACAATATAATACCTCAGCCAGGCCTGCACCTTCAGGTTCAAACTCTGGTTGAGGTATTATTTTTCGCAATAGACATAAAATTAAAAATATTTACAATTAGACACTACCCGGGAAAGAAATGCTTATATCTAATCATATCTGAGTACATCTAACTCACAATCAGATATAAGCATGTATGGATTTTGTCCCGAGCCAATTATGTGCGACGTAAATGTGAGTTAGATAACGTTCGATAACACACGAATATGTACAAATATTTAAGAGATTTATTTCGATACTTTATCAATATTTATCAAAATATTTCACAAATATTTGTATATAGTCTTTGATTGAATAGATCATATATACTGCTCAAAAGAAATATGGCATAGAAAAATTTTATGCAAAAATTGGTCAACTTTGACTGACGGTAACTTCGCGAAAAATCATCGTAAAATTATGTTCTTCTTTTTTAATTAAAGCTTGAAATCTCTACTTTAAGATACTATAGTTATTTTTTAGGTGTGATGCATCCCTATCACTGTAACACCTTAAATGTGAGGGCATGTTATATTGAAAATTACAAAGTTTGACGGAGTGCATGGACTTGCTACATTTTTTTTCGCAAGGGGATAAACAGGGGGGTTACTGTTTACAGGAACATAAAGTACGAACCTTTCTCTTCAATTTAAAAAAAAAAGAAGTCGCTGCCATTTTTTTTCGCAAGGATACAGTACATTAAAGTAACCCTTGCATTATTGGCATATACCAGGTTGCCGGTCGGATTTTGCACATCATATGGCCCTTTGTTCGTCGCGTCTCATCCGGAATATAATATGCGACTTCTGTGTATCGGTTGCGGTTGCGTTCATTAAATTTTATCACCGACCCCACTCATTGCCGGACTAGAGATGCCTTTAAAAGAAGTGCCTTTAAAAGAAGTCGCATATTATATTCCGGATGAGACGCGACGAACAAAGGGCCATATAATGTGCAAAATCCGACCGGCAACCTGGTATATGCCAATAATGCAAGGGTTACTTTAATGTACTGTCCTTGCGAAAAAAAATGGCAGCGACTTCTTTTTTTTTAAATTGAAGAGGAAGGTTCGTACTTTATGTTCCTGTAAACAGTATCCCCGACAAAAAATGTAGCAAGTCTGTGCACTCCGTCACACTTTGTAATTTTCAATATAACAAACATGCCCTCACATTTAAGGTGTTACAGTGATAGGGATGCATCACACCTAAAAAATAACTATAGTATCTTAAAGTAGAGATTTCAAGCTTTAATTAAAAAAAAGAACATAATTTTACGATGATTTTTCGCGGAGTTACCGTCAGTCAAAGTTGACCAATTTTTGCATAAAATTTTTCTATGCCATATTTCTTTTGAGCAGTGTATGATCATATATGTATATAATAATATAATCGTATTCTATTTTGTTAAATATTTATGACGTATTAAAATAAATCTTTGAAATATTTTGAAAATATTTCTGTGTTATCAAACGATATCTAACTCACATTTACGTCACATGTAATTGGCTAGGGACAAAATCCATACATGCACGGAAAGAACAATGTAGCTGCTGTAGCTAAAACTTAGCAAAATAGGGACAGCTAATATTTTTAGTTGTGATAGCTCAATATTTGCAAAAGCAAACCGTTTGCTGTTGCACCTAATACAATAGGCACAGTAGCAAAATATTGAGCTATCACAACTAAAATATTAGCTGTCCCTATTTTGCTAAGTTTTAGCTGCAGCAGCTACATTGTTTTTTCCGTGTGCTTATATCTGAGTTAGATGTATGCAAATATGATCAGATATAAACATTTTTTCCCGAGTAACATCCTGCCTTGGCTTTCACTCCTTTATTACTTTGTATTTTATGAATTTTATTAAACTCTCATAAAGTTCTTCAAAGTGTCCCACAAATTTTAAAAGAAAATTCTCTCCGTATGTAATATAAAATTAAATCATATATTATACTAATATTGCAAAAATACGCGTCGGGGGGTTCGAACGGCGCGTCGACAACGAGATGTATAACGAGACGGATAAGACTCTTACCTTCAGCGATGTTGTACGACTTGAAGGACGGATACTGTAGAACGTCGTATTCGTACTCGTCGCCGGAAACGAGATAGAGGGTGACGACGATCAGACACGGCAGCAGAACCAAAACCAGGCCGGGCCGTCGGCAGAAGCACTCGGTGAAGCGCGACCATTTCGCCTTCCACATCATGCTGTCGTAGCGGCGCCTTCCTCGGGGTCGCGGGAGATCAGAAGTGACCCCGCGTCATCTCGTCGCGTTTCTGTCAATCTCGTTATATTTCGCGAACGGTTTACCCTCGTCAAGGATGTCTCAACTGTTCGCCGCTCGTCCCCTGATACTCTCGCACGGCATCGCCGATCGCGACGTGGACATCCGTCTTTCCGCGAGCCACCGTTCTCTTCGTCCTCGGCTTCTTCGTCCTCTCGAGAAAGGAAGACTGTCATCGAGCAGCCGCCGTGCCTCGCGAGAACGCCGACACGTGATCGACTATCTCGCTGCTGATGCGCCTCGTTCTGAAATCGAGAGTCGGTCGCTTTCAATGCTTTGGTCGCGGGAAGTGGGACATTTACTTATCGAAGATCTTTATCTACTCCTGCGATGTGTAAATATTCTCTCTCTCTCTCTCTCTCTCTCTCCTCCCCCCCTCCCTCCCTCCCCCCAACCCCCTCAGCTAGATAGCCCAGATAGCCAAGTATAATGTAGCATATTGAACGAACTAATGCATTGCGTGTGTTTAGCAGCGACATAGATATGTATTAACAAATTTCGAGACTAACTTGTAACAATTATTTCTGATTAACATTTATGGGGCATAATTACGGCGCTAATTCTCCTCTAAATAATATATATTGTTCCCTTCAACGGTTTATCCGGTAAATTTTTCAGACTTTGACCTAAAACTTCGACAATTGAAAAATCCAATTAAATGCAATGAATTTTTTTGTAGAAAGTATAGTAATATTATAAACAGTTCACGTAATAAAGATCATTATTAGATCGAAGTAAATACAGAGGAAGAAAAACGGATATCCGGAAAATAATTGAAATATTTGATAACTGAAAATAAAATGCCAGGATATTGCGACTTCCTGTTTAAGCGCCATCAAATTTCAACGAAAAAAAGAACAACGGTACACGTAGCTTCAATAAACCTTAATGAAAAAGAAACATGTAAAAATGTCTCTCAAACTGTATATTGAACTCTACTGTCTAATTTTGACTGCGATGATTTGTTTCTTCGTGTCCCTAAATATTTTAGATAAACGTAATTAATGTGATATCCAAAAACTGTATGAGAGAGAAAGAGATAGATTCTGTAGATTTCGAAAGTATCTAAAGAAAATGTAAGTCATCTTAAAGACTTCGTCATCAACTGTGCCGACTTTTTCTATGTCACCAGTTAAGAGTTAAAGTGGCAAAACATCGAATTGATTAGATAAATGCCGCTTATGCCGCATTGTGAACTTGTACGTTCTCCTCTTGATTGACCGGTAATCGTGCGCGATACAAAGTTCGTCGTAAACTGGTTCCAATTTCATTTCGACGGATGTGCTTCCGATAAGAACTCATCTCGCTCGGTTTCCGGTAGCCGAGCGTATTTAAGGACATACGCGGTCCGAACGTCAATATGACATCCGAAACAAACGCTTTAAATCATTTTTGTTTAATCTTCATTGCGCAATGTATACGCAATAATTATGTGAATAATCATGTAAAGTAATTGCTATTCCGACAGTAAGTAATATCAAACGCAAATTAAAAGTAACTGAGAATAAGTACAAAATAATAATTTTAAAAATATAATAAATACGAATTTTCTAATGACAGTAATAGATACGAAAGAAAGATTTATTTGGCAGAAAATATGTTAATTTAGAAAAGCTAATTTTCCGTTTTAATTATTATCACATGATATTTATTAAAATTTACCCTGAAAATCATGTAATCGCGAGACAACATGACATTTCGAAGAATTTCATGAGAATTTTTGGAAATTTTGCCATACGTTTTACTAGTAATTAACTACACAGCTGAAAAATTTGTGTTAATTTTAACAGATATCACATGTCCCAAACGGTCCACACAAATTTTGTTAAACAAAATTGTGTTAATTTAACATAATATAGATATGTTAAATGGTCACACTAATATACTCTGTTAATATTTTAACACAAAATAAATGCAAATCTCAAAATAATTTGAAATAAATTTTGTGCAAAATTAACTCATTTTGAATGACAAAATGAATTTTTACGTCTTGCAGATGTAATAAGTGAAATGACGGTGCGAAATCACTCTCACTTATGTTATATAGAATAAAATCAACATTTTAGTCTGTAAATTTGAACAGATAAATCTTGTTACTAATAATATAGAACATATGTATTGTGTAAGATTACAAAATAACTACACATTGTGATGTTTTAACATTTCTTTTCAGTATTTTAATAATTTTACAATTGAGAGAGAGAGAGAGGTCAATTAACACAAGAGTAATATGTTAAATTAACACATGAATGTGTTAAACATTTAACACACAAATTTTAATCGGCTTTTAACAAGAAAACACAAATTTTTCAACTGTGTAGTAACTAATAAAATGTGTATTAAGTATAATTACTAAATATATGGTAAAATTTCCAAAAACTTTCATGAAGTTCTTCGAAATGCCATGTTGTCCCACGATTACACGATTTTCAGAATAAATTTTAATCAGGGAAAATTCATAGAACACACAGATATTCCATTTAAAGAAAACTGACTAATAAATTATATTTGTTAGTCATATGTATTTCTTCACTATCTTATCTCGCTTCATAATTCCCGTCTGTATCACAATCTGTATGGGTAATCTGTGCACCTTCCGCTTATTCGTTCGCACAAGACAAGGAAAGGAAAACAATCGTAGTTAAACGCCGATTCTGCGAAATAGAAATTTTTACATAATGCACAAGTGTGCTCGTAGCGCGCAAGTTATGTGTACGTGCTGTTATTGCGTAACGTTTAGCGAAAGAGCAGGAGAGTCGACAAAACCGAAATAACTCGTGGCCACACGCGATAATGCATACTGTTATTAGTCAGATAATCCGATATCTGAAATGGTGCAATATTACTGTCCGATAAGTAATTCGATACTCGAAACGTTACGGCCGTCCAACGTGGGCTGAATGAAAAAATTCCATTTGATTATAAGCCATAGAAAAGTCCACAAGTTCCTCGCAAACGGAGATAATGTTCTTTTTGATATGGAATATCGTGCCTCGGAGAGCGGATGGCTAGATAAAATGAACCCCCCCCCCCTGCCCCACGCCCTCCGCGTTCCTCCGTAGGAAGCGTAGGTGTGTAATTGAATATCGGACATTGAATGATGGGCCACGTTGCGCGTCATAGTAGCCGACAAAAAGTAGCGTTAAAATGTAAAGCGTGCGACACAAATCTGTTTCATAGATTCGAAGAATGAGCCCCGATAAATCGATACACGCACGTAGAATAGGGGCTCGCGTAAATAAATGATCCTGCGTGTTTTCTGTGGAAGACTGCGGGAAGGTCGGGGTGCGCTGTTAAAATTTATCAGCGGGACACGTCGAGATTTAATTTGGCGTACACTGGGAATCGCCGATGCCTGTCCGCGTGAATTTGCGCACCGCGTCGACACATTTTGCGTACGCATACGTGAGAAATGTATCTACCCGCGCCTAAATTCGCCCGGGAAGGCGTCGGTGGTTCCTGGCGTACAAGTCTAAGATCGCGCACTTTCCTCACCCGCGGATAAATTTGGGGTAAGTTTCCTTTCTCCGCGGAGCCTCGCGTCGGAATTATCAGGAACCTAAAATTAAGTTACTCAAAGAACGCAACCACGTAAACGCCGATCCAATTTTCCGACTTAACTTTGCGACAAACCCGACGATCTTCGCGATTCAAAATTTCAACGCTCTCGCGAACTCGTATTTGTTTGAAGGAGTGAAGGGTGGGGGGAGCCTTGACACGAGAGATTAGACGGCGATCCGTGAGACTTGATGTCTCGGAAACTCTCCGGAACTTTTAAATGCACCGACAGGCATCCGCCAAGATTTGCACATCCGCGCCTTCGGCACAGTGGACGACGGTGTCACGGGTCGCGATCGGTGCGTACTCATCCCGCCGTTCGCACGCGCACGCACGGCCTCGCGAGAGAAGCAGCCTCGCCGAGGTTCCTTTCAATTACCTCCCGCGCCCGCGTGTCGACGTACGAATGGGAGTCGGCCCGGTCGTCCGCGGTTTTTCCCCGCGACGCGTCTGGACGCGCGAGAATCGCGACGCTCTTATCCCGACTCGCGTCCCGCGACGCGACCCTGGCGTACGCGCGGGGGGATGACGGCGCACGGCATAACGAGCCACTGCACGAGGTCTCACCCCGCCGCGGCGAGCGAGGGCTGCGGACGATGTTTAATCGAATCGAGCTGGCCGGGGCGACGCGCGCGCGTACCACCCACGCTGCAACCAGGCAACTCCGTCGCCGACTGACGGAGATTCGCGCATACGTCGCCGTCGCCGTCGTCGTCGTCGTCGCAGTCGTCGTCGTCGACGACGACCACCAGCGTGCCTCCACTCGTGCGCCGCGCCGCGCCGGTCTGCGCCGCGGCGCGGCGCGTCGCGATGCGCGCGGCCCCTCGCCGGTACGCACTCTCGCAATTGCGGCTTTCTGCTAACGATCGCAGGCTTTCGAATTTGCAAAATTTTCCGGCCGTTTAGACGGTACGTTTTATCAAAAATTTCGCTCGCCTGTGCGCGGGCGTTATCGATCCCGCGAGGCCGTTGAGATGTCATGTATCGATTAGGATGCAGTAGTCAGCGCGTCTTTGGAGTAAAATTCCATCGGAATCGTAATATAAATAAGATCCGTGTTATTTAACGGGAAGTTCTTTAAAATTTCGGGTGAAAATGGAGAAATCTCCGTTCTGCGGTAACACATTTATGTGACGGCGCGCTTATTTTGCCTAACACAATTTTATGTAGTAAAAATAGTGCGCAATGAAATATGTACAATAAGTTGAATATATTATACATATATAGTTAGACTTCTCACTAGTAAAAGCGCTTAAAATAGTGAACGCGTACAATTTAAATTAGAAATAAAGATATTACCTGGTAAAAAATTTTTCGTGCACGTGCGTGCATAAATATTGTATATAGTATTATATAAAATTATACATCACTCCATACATAGTTTTACATTGTGTACTTCTATATAATTCTATGCAATTCTACACAGTTCTATTTAATTTTATGGATTTATGTGGAAAATTTTGTGGAAGGAAAATGTTGCTCATATATAATTATATATAATCAGGGTTGGGAAAGTTACTTTATAAAGGTACCTAGTTATAGTTACAGTTTTTTCGCTAAAAATGCAACTAGTTAAAGTTACCAAGTCTGAAAAGTAACGCGTTACAATTACAGTTACCCAAGAAGTAATGAATCGTTACTTTGCAGTTACTTTCGTGCAATGAAAATAAAGATATCAAATCTGCATTTGAATTGTAAAGCGTCGATAAAGGCGTTTATGTGCAAATGCAAGACCTAATGCGATCTGTAGAGGTTTAAAAAATATATAAAGTAACCATTAATGTAACTATTTAATTAGTTACTAGTCATCGACAAAATGCAACCGAGTTAAGTTACGGTTACAGATGGAGAGAAAGTAACGAAGTTAAGTTAGATTTACCCAAAAAGAGTAACTATAACTTCGTTTACTTCCCAACCCTGTATATATATAACTTTGTACAATTGTACACAATTATATATCAATATAAATAAGCAACTTTTCACGTTAAAAATTGTTCATATAAAAGCATGTATAAATGTATAAAATGATACAGAACTGTGTAGAATTGTATAAAAGTATTTAGAAACATACAATGTAAAAATATGTATGGACCTATTTGATGTATATTTTTATATAATTCTATATATTTATTCGTGTCCGTGCATAAAGATTTTTTTACCGGGTACGTTGTTTTTTGAAAATATTTCTTAGGCAAAAAGAGGCACTCAACACACGAAGAAAGTTTATTAAATTAATTAAACGTTCTATTACCTTTTGTACACCAAGTCCACTTCTTGGCTGTAAGCTGAAGTTAATAAATTATGTATATTAGTAAACGTTCTATTTTAAAGCGGGAACTAAATATTAGACGCGTTTATAAAATTAATACAAATTCTGACGGTAGCAGGTGCCGGTAGTATCGATATTTTTTAATATCATTGCTACTCCGATCAATATAAAATATTCAGCCGCTTGCGGCGTATCTATTTTTAATGTTGGAATACAATATGAAGTGTGCATGACGTGTTCACTGGGAAATCATCGGTAAATTATGTTGCTTGTTCGACGTTCTTTGTAAGACTCCGATAAAAGATTCTTATTAATGTCGATTACGGATTACGCGCCAAACGGGATATCGCTAATTTTGGTTAATGCAATTTTGTAAATAAGACTGCGTAAATTGGATTCAATCAATCGATTTAATTTCTGATCTACCACCTGCACTGTGATATTATAGTTACGTCTATTTTAATATGTAATTCAGAGTTATTTAAGATTACGCTAACATGATATCGGAACATTATCTAATTAAAGATCATAAAATATTAAAGTTTCTATAAAATATGATTGCTAGGTGATTTAGGAGCATCGTATTAAAAGGAAGTAACTCGTTACTTGTAATGAAGTTACAGTTACACATACTCTTTTTTGGCAAATCTAACTTAACTTCGTTACTTTCTCTCCATCTGTAACTGTAACTTAACTCACAATACATTTTTCCGATGACTAGTAACTAATTTAATAGTTACATTAATGGTTACTTTATGTATTTTTAAACCTCTGCTGATTGCATTAGGCCTTGCCTCTGCGCATAAACGCCTTTATCGACGCCTTACAATTCAAATGCAGATTTGATTTTTTTATGTTCATTGCAAGAAAGTAACTGCAAACTAACGACCCTGCATAAGCCGTTATGAAAATAGTAAAATTTTACTTTTAAACCAAAAATATATGTACTGTAACATAGTATAACATGATACTCGAATCGTGATTTGTTTGAAAAAAGACCCTTGGTTTATATCATATTTCGTTTATTTGCCGGTGTACAATTGATTGTGTATTTGCTTACCTATTCACATACGTTCAAAAGTAGATTTTGTGTTACCGAAATTTTAGGAAAATTATGAAAATCTACAATAATTGCAAGATTTCGTCGAAGTACGAAATCATTAACAAACGACAATCATCACAATTGTATGAAACACGACCCGATGTCTTCGTGATTCTAATCAACCTTGTTATTCTGCATGGAGAAGTAAAGCGAAATTACAGAAAGATATACGTACAAAGCACGCGATTAATTCTCCGGTCGTGCCATTAATAAGCGTCACGTTAATTTCTGCGTTGCGAACTTTCGACGTTAACGGGATGAAAAATGAGATCTCAACGTCGGTCTGCGCCCTAACGATCCGGACGGATTAAAAGTCGAAAACGCGACAAGGAAAGATGCGAATGCAATTATGGCTTAAAGTTAATTAAGCCCTAACTTAATTTAACTTCCATCCTACAAAAGCCGGGGATACAGTGCTTAAAGCATGCACGGCACTGACTTCTGATAATATTAACTCTCGAGTTAATCGAGCACAGGACTGGCAACTTCGATCACGATCGTCTCCATTTTTGTTTTACCTCATTTTTAGTTTAAACGCATTTCTCGGGGATTCGAAGACACATCAAAATGAAACGATACACGGGAAGAAAAATGTAGCTATCATAGCTAAAAACTGCTTACGACTTAGTTATAAAATATGGACACCTAATATTTTGTTGTGATAGCTAAATATTCTGTTACTGTGCCTATTGCATTAGGTGAGGCAGCAAACAATTTGCTGTGATTTAGAAATTGATAGCTACGGCAGCAAAATATTTTTAACAAACCACGATTAGCTACGGTAGCGAACATTTTTTTTCAGTGCATTGTACAAAAATGTTCGAACGTGCAAAATCATATACTTTTTCTGAAAAAATGTTGAAGTTTTTCACTGCAGATTACGAAGGTGAAAGAGTGTGTGCTGTTATTAAAAAATGTATAGTTATGGCAGCAAATTATTTTTAACAAACCACGATTAGCTACGGTAGCGAACTTTTTTTCCAGTGCACTGTTAACAAATGTTCGAACGTGCAAAATCATATACTTTTTCTGCAAAAATGCTGAAGTTTGCACTGCAGATTCCGAAGGTGGGAGAGTTTGGATCATGGTGTGGTATTCTAGAGTTAAAGTCTGGTCGCTAGACGGGATACGTACCTGATGCTGCGGCACGTGTACGCCGTTTCGAGATATATCGTGCGGGCAGTTATCGACGAGCCCCAGCGAAGCCAGACACGCAGTCGCGGAATTGCCCGGGACCAACATCAGCCGCGGAAACATCGGCCAACATTAGACTGCATAGAGGCATGCGATGTGCCGAGATTTGTCCGTTTGTCCTCGTTGTGTAGAACGCTGTCGTAATTTTTGTGGTTCTGAGAGTTCAAGTGATCCGCGTTATAATCGACACGATATATTCCTTCATTGGCGACAATTTATTTATTTCGAGATTTTGCTCCTCCTCCATTATTGACTCCGTACGATTATTTTGCATTGTTTTATTCACTGCCAGACAAAGCAGTCTTTGCATGTGCCGATGTCGATGATGAGACCATTTATAATGTAAATCCAGTCTTTATCGTCGCATTTGCAATATGAATTATCGGTGACTTGCTAACAAGATTCACACTTGCTGCGTGCAGCAAAATGCATTCGTTATATGCATAATCGATGCATTCATTCTTTCAAAACGTCATACTGACTTAATTATTTTGCTGTATTGCGAATATGGAAAAATTCTGAAGCGGCATATTACGTTTGTGGACAGAAAGGTAGTTTTTCGTTACAATAATAAATATATAATAAAAACAGATTTTTATATTTTATTAGAATTGATTAAGTTACATTTTATTTCGTGTCTTGATACGATGTCGATTACAAGATAAATATACGAAATGCGCGTCAGATATCCTATACGAAATAGTAATTCATTGTCAGCGATACAAAATTGTACAAAAGAATTCATTTATAGTCTTGTTGCCCCGATAATTTTACATTATCTGTACACTTCTGACATTTATGCAATATCTATTCTTCTTCTCGAGCGACTTTAAACATTTACGTTAATAAATAAAGTGCGTCATTGAAATTCAAACGGAAGACGTATTATCACTTTGGTACGCTTAGCTGGATAATATTCAATCTATGTACCTATAAGTACATCGATCGACGTTCGAATCTATTGGCGTAGTTTTGGACTGTCTATTATTTAAGATTACTTCAAAAAGTAAAAGCAGTGCTTTCAAATACACGGGGAAATTTTTCTCTTAAAATTTATCCTGAAAATTATGTAATCGTGGGGCAACATGGCATTTCGAAGGACTTTATGAGAGTTTTCTGAAATTTTACCATACATTTTACTAGTAAAATATATACTAAGCATAATTATACTAGTAACATGTATGGTAAAATTTCAAAAAGCTCTCATAAAATTCTTCGAAATGCCGTGTTGTCCCACGATTATATGATTTTCAGGATCAATTTTGAGAGAAAATTCTCTCCGTGTGAGACCCAATCCTGAACGAAACGGGGTCTCAACACTGTTAACCTTTTTCGAATACAATGCGATACGTTTGAGACGTATATTTTTGGATTATCTCTTAGGGCCAATTTTACAAACGTCAGGTAACTGTTAACCAGAGTTCAGTCAATTTCCTACCTGTTTCTATTTTGTTATCTAAGAAGAGACAGAGAATCAATTAACCTTCGGTCAGTTGACCGACGCTTTGAAACTGACCCTTGAATGTTACATATAGAAACTGCCAGTGCATATGCTTTTCAATGATAATTTATTTACGATATTGCGTCTTCCGTGTGCTAAATACAAGGTGCATATACTCGAAACTTCGAATCTCCGCCTTAGGGTGATCTAACGTTTTCAAAATTATCGTTTATTCGTTAGACGTATGAAAATAGTACTCAGGACTTAGTCTCACGGCTCACTGTTCGACAATTTCATATCTGTCTAAGACAGTGTATTAATCATATCTTTATATCTAAATGTTAAGTCGTATTATTAATCTTATATATATGTTAAAATGCACTATCTAAAATTCGAAACTAACTAGTCGAGATCGATTACCTCGCAAGTAATGCATGAGATAGGATTTCTTATGAATATTACTCGATTCGTGGAAAAATGAAACTCGATCGTTGAATTTTCGATATCGAACTTGCTCCCGTCCGTAGCTATTGGCCAAATATTTCCAAGATAAGTCCTGAGTACGCGTTTTATCTGTCGCGGGGCGGCCAAGGTTATCCCTTGGTGCAGCTACACCCGTCTTACGGTATTACTATACGCGATTAAGTCCCATTATTACACGAGCGCAATCATTCCTCCTGAGAGCGCGACTCGCTACGGCGGCGGTCACTGGCCCGGTTCGACTTAACGCGAGATCTCGCGCAGGAGGCGCGACGGAAAATTCTCTCTGTGTTCGTTCTGGGTGCCGGAGTCGTACCCGGCTCGAGTAAAAACGGTCCTTTCAGTCTCGAAATCGCGGAGCGTTGAAAGCCGGAGTCACCGCGATACGGCTTAACGATCTTTGGTCACACTTACTTTTGCGCCCGTCTACTCAATTCTCGGGCACTCACTTCGCGAAACCATCGACGAGCCGGTTGGTGGTTTGCTCCTCTTCCCCCCCCCCCTCTCTCTCTCTCTTTCTCCTTCCGTCGGACGATACGACGAGAAGATCGGTCGGTCGAGATTAAATCGTTGCGCCGCATCCTGCAACATGTCGGCTTGATAATCGTCGTCCTGTCGCAAACATTAATTTAGAGCAGCCCACGCTGAGAACGATAAGCCACGAGTTGCGAATACAATCAGCGATTGAAAAGAGATGAACCGTTTATTCGAGCACGTTTCGACGTCGTGTATATTTCCCGATAAACTTCGCAAAGAGGCGAATTAAAAATTAAGTGCCCCCATTTGACCGCTAGATAGACTATTACATTATTCGTCTTTTCTTTAACTTGAGTCAATCACACTCGTTGTTTACTCTTGTGCGGCTATTGATTAGATTTTATTAAAAATGACGTGTCTGACGTTCGATTATTCCTCTTGTCATACGAAATAATTGAAATACTATTTTTTATTAGAGTGGAGGCGGGCTATTTCACGCGATTGAGATAAGAATGACCATCTTGCGAACAATAGCCGCCGCAGTAGCAGAAAATAGTACATTTGTACATGGAGAGAATTTTCATTGATAATAAAATCGCGGGACCACCTGGCACTTTCAAGAACTTTTGTATGAAAGTTTTCTGAAATTTTACCATACACTTTACTAGTGTGAAATGTTTATTACATATAATTACTAGTAAAATGTAAGACGAAATTTTAAAAAACTCTTAATAAAATTCTTCGCAATGCCGTGTTGGCCCACGATTGCATGATTTTCAGGATAAATTTTGAGAGAAAATTAACTCTCCGTGTAAAAAGAGAGAAAAGAAGAGACATTTATGATTGCTTGTTTCTCTTTATGTTCTTGCTTTTAGGAAGCGACAATATTTTGCTCGGTCGAGGAAAACTTTGGACAAAAAATTTTCAAGACGGAAGGTCAGAAAGTTACGAAACGCCCCCAAAAGCCCTTCCCTTCATTTCGAAAGTTCATCAATTTTTCTTTAACCGAGCCAGATATCCTCACTCCATCTTAAAACGAGAAGCAATCGTAAACATATATCTCTTCTTTTCTTTCCTTCCTTCTTTCTGTTGTACCATTTTCTGCCATTGCGGCGGCTATTGTTCACAAGAATGGTCATTCTTATCTCGGTCGCGTGAAATAGCCCGCGAGGAGAGCAATCTGCGTGGACGATGCCTACGAATCGCGCGCGCGCGCGCGCGTGTATTATTTCCGTCTCAGGCTACACGCTCTCGTTTATGACTAATTCATTTATGTAATTTCTCACTGTATTCTTCCGGATGCGTGTAGAGATTATTGCGGAAGATAGCAACGTAATCGATGCATCCCGCTCTAATTACACGCGAGCGTGACTCCGCCTCGCGTTAGGATTCTAGGAAGCGCGCGGATCTAACGACGGCCTCTCGATGCGTCGAATCGCGAACGGTTACTACCCTGGAGCACGTATTGAAGAGCCCGCAAATAAGATCGCGATCGTTGCGAAGAAGAGTCTCAGGGAAAGAAAGCCGTCATTCATAAGCAGCGCCTTATTTATTTGAGAATAACGCGGAAAGACGCGTGTGTCTCTCACGTTTGTTTCACATAAGTGGCTATTAATTTCAACACACGGCGTTTTTCTCGACGAACGTCTCGTTTGATCGCAAGTCACGGAGGCTCGATCGCAAAGGTGACTTACGGGGAATACAAATCCCGACCGCGCGAATCTAGATCCCGCCCGATCTCGATAGGATCCCGTTTTATTTACAGAACGTCGGGTGATCTCGCGAACTTTACACTGGGAAAAAATTTATTTGTTTATTTATTTCGGTGAAATAAACATTATATGCCACGAATAAATTTTCACAGACTTTTTCTCAGTGTACGGCGCATTTTTTTTTTCGTCGCGCCTTAAATATCTCTCTCTCTCTGCTTTCGCGAAAGGTACTTACTGCAGACGCTGCAGTGTTTCTCGTCGGAGCCGTCGCCGCATCCGTCCCGGCCGCTGCAAGTTATCGCGTCGGAACGACACCTGCCGTTGTCGCATCTGAACGGACAGTATCTCGCGGTGATTCGGCCGCGATTGTGCGTCCTGCACGCTCCCCTGGGCTCGTCGCTGCCGTCCCTGCAGGAGACCACCGCGTTGCAAAATTCGTACGCCGGCAGGCACTGGCCGTTGTTGCATCTGAACGCACCCTCGGGACACTCTGCACAGGTCGCGAAATCTCACGTGTAAATTGCAGCAAGATATCGGGGGTACGTGGAATGTGTAAGGCGGGACATATGCTTCTTCGGAAAAGTATGGGGCCGAGATTCGTAAGTACGTTTCGCTTATACCGCTACTGAATCGCCTATTCTGAGAAACCAGTGCTAACACATGGTATCCGGTTATTTTATCTGTTAAAAGTATATTTACGAATCAGTACCTTATACCGTTCTAACCGATTTTTAAATAAAAATTTAGCGCAAGTCAAACGGATCTTACTTGTGAATTAATAGACTGTGCGACAATTACGACAAAGAACTACCTGACGCGACCAAGGGGTTGCTTTAATTTCTAACTACAGCGAATGGCAAAATGTGATCATGAGCACTTTTGTTTGTACTAACGTTTTTTGTTTATTAATAATGTTTAACCGTTCTCTTCCGATATAATTCTCCGTTGCCCTATAGATTTTTAATATTCGCTTAGGTCAGGACTGGAGAGTCTTATTGATTAATTCTTGAGAAAGTTCTCTCTCGAGACCAGCGATATCTTGAACTTTTTTCTCTCCACAGCCTCTCAATTTGAAATAGTCCCAGACGAAATAATTCACCGAGTCCGCACCGAATACTTCGTAATCAATTCTTTTACCAAAATAAATTTCATTTTGTCCCGCGTGAACTCCAAAGTTTTCTATACATGCGATGGTGTAGAACCTTGAGCCATTACATGGACATCTACGATTAATGTCTGTTGTGTCTTGAAGATTTCAGTGTAATCAAGAAAGTTACTTTCAATTTAAAACTGAGATAAATTACCTGAACAACGCGGAAAAGCGATTAAAAATCGAAAGTATTCGCGTGATCGAACTTTCCTCACCTTCCGTACACGTGTGTTACGAAAACCTTTGAATCTCCCGAGAAAACATGGAAAAATCTCATTATACATGTCTCAATCATGAATATTTAATTATATCTCATGAGATCCAATTCTAAAATCATCAGATCCTCAGAGATTTGACACTTTCCTTGAATGTTCGAGATTATCTATTGAGATAACTAACTGATTTTATAATTAAATATCCCAAGAGGACATAATTAGATCTCAATAGATAATAACATTGAATATTTAATAAACGTGCCAGATCTCTGAAGATCTGATAATTTTAGAATTGGATATAATTAGATATTACACGATTGAGACAATTATAATGAGATATTTCCACTTTTTCCCGGGCTGAATATAATTTACAATTAAAAACGAGAGAGTGTGTATGTGTCTATCAGGGAACAAGTCGCCTAAAGCGCAGAAGCAAAGATCCAAGAGAGAATCACAGGGACAACGTAAATAGCATAATTACAGAATGAAGAAAAGAATAATAAGAGATTGTAAAAAATCAATGACAAGTAGGTGGACACAGAAATAGAAAAGGGGGACAAAGGGAAATATAAAAGAAATGGGCATCGAGAGATAGGGAGAGAATACCAACTTCGGCGGTTGTTGCAGCCGATCTCGTCCTCGCCGCGAGGACAGTCGCGGTTGCCGTCGCACACCCCGGACCTCGAGATGCAGACGTTGCTGTCGTTGCACCTGAATGCCTGCGCCGGGCAGCGGGGACCGGCGCACTCCTCGTCGGAACCGTCGGCGCAATCGGCGCGGCCGTCGCAGACGAAGAACCAGCTGATGCAGCTACCGGACGACCGGCACTGGAACGTGCCCGGCGCGCAGCCGGTCCGCCGCGCGCTGCAGCTGCCGTTCGTCGGGAAGCTGCAGTCGCACACGCCGCCGATGCACCGCGACTTCGGATCGGCCATACGGCACTCCAGATCGGCGATGCACGGCAGCCCCAGACTGACGGCCGTCATTATCGTGCTCTCGTGACGGTCCGTCTTTATAGGCGCTGAAAGGCGGAAAACCCGTCAGACTGAATGGCGGTGTCGGTCGAGAATCGAGATCCCGCGACGTGACTCCGAGCCAATTTTACGCTTTAAATACGCCAGTCCGGTTCTGCGACTCTTAACGACGGCGATCGTTACACTGTCGTTACGCAGGTGTAATTTCGAGTTGCAGAACGGGCCCCGCTGACGTGGCCCGCTCATTTTTCGTTTCGTCACTAAAAGGATACCCTTCAAGATATAAAAACGTTGAATCTTACCGGAAGTTGTCGAGGTTGTCGTGACATGAGCGAGCTCGGTAACTTCCGCCTCGATAACGACGGCATCGTCATCGTCGGGAAGCTCGTTTGGGCCGGGACGATTGTTGGATCCGGGTCTTAAGTTCAATGACGGTCTCGTCACCAAATTCACCGGTATCAATTGATTGGGAACTTCCGTCGACAGGAGCATCGTTGCGTTCTTCAGCCAAGATATCTGAACTCCTATTCAAGGGAAAAAATATTGAAAAGAAACGCTTCTATTTATAGTATTCATTATCCGAGGGAGAGAGAGGGTGTCAATTCTGTAGGATAGACAGTTTGTAGAATTAGACAGTTACGATTAGAGTTTGTGCAACACTACGTGGAAGACGTAGTGAAGTATACGAATTCCATACGATGGTCCACCAGACCATTGAGTGAGACGCATCGCTCTGGAGTCGGGCGCTGCTAGTATACTATTCTCACTTTATTCAATAAAATAGAGTAGATAAGTGAGAAGGATTTCGAGAGTGTGGGTCTGGAGAGCTCAGTTGGAAGAGCATTCGCCTGGCAAGCGGAAGGTCCCAGGTTCGAATTCCGGTCTAGTCATAGCCCGTTATTTTTCTCGCTGAAAATTAACAATTAGTGGCGCGTCTTATCGTTAGTAATGAATAAAGTGTCACGTTAAGAATTCCACCAGTCATGCTTAATTCAAACGGACATATGAAAAATCCGTTTAAACATTGAATATCTGTTAGAAAATTTAACGAAAATATAATTGTTCTTTATACATAAAAACGGATATGCTTTGCAGTGTAGTACAGGTAGAAATAAGAAGGAAAGAATAAAATTTATTTGCAATGACAAGACGAGAAGGGAAAATTTTTATGAAAATCTGGACAGAGAAAGATAAAAGAGAAAGGAAAGGGTTTTGATTAAAAAGCAGAGCGGAATAGTAGTAGGAGGTGAGGGGATATAGATAAGGTAATATTAACAGGAGAAAGAATTGATTATAGGTATCGGTATCAGTTAATGTAAGCGAAGAGTAGACAGGTTGGATGGATGGATAAATGGATAAGAAATCATTATAATCCGAGTCCTTTCTTGGCTTGTAAAAGCTGAAATGAAGATTTATATAGTTGTATTACAGTATTCATTATCGAATTAACGCTTTCGCCGTTTACATCAGGCTTTCGAGAATCTTCGAAAGTGATAATAGAGAGTAATGAAACCTCGCGTGTGGCGATCGCCTGTGAGCGCGGCACACGCGCGCCGAGTTTTCCTTGCGCGCGTTCGCAGAGAGATACCGCTCGCGTCTCGTTAACGATCGCGCTAATTAAGAATACGAATCGCCTCATCTCGCTTAATCCGCTCGAGCGCATTCGGGCCGGAATACGAGACCGTTCGGTCTCGCGGATTCCCGTTGCGTCCGTGTGCACGGAAAAGCTGATTATCGGATAAAAGGTGCGTGAAACCCAGAGAGACGATGATGCAGCCTGATACAATTCTCGTACAACGTACGCGTCCAAGGATTACTCCACGGGAATGTTAAGTGGCTTATAGAGAAGTCAGGTATCACGTGTTAGCTTGTTACAAGTTTGCGCGGCACTGGATGGAGTACGAAGTTTAGAATACAGTCCCAATTAAGCGATAATCTCAAAGCTCTATTTTCGCACAAGGACACGCAAGTTCTTTTTTATACCGGGAGTAAGTCTTATCTAATAAAAATCATTGTACAAAATTACATATTAATATACATACAACTACGAAACTAATTTCTGTCTGGAATAGAAAGATTTGTTTTCACAAGAAATTCTTTACAGCGATTTAAATAGGATAGCATCGAAAGTTAAATCGACTATCGGTTTAAGCAGTAAAAAGTATGTATTTCAAGACCGATAAATAATTGTCGCGCAGTTTACAGAGGGACAAGTATACAAAATTCACTAGTCATATTATTATTTGATTCCCAAGAGCCGAAAGTGGCGCATCTTCTCTATTTATTACATTAATATTTATCCGAGTCGTGAATGAAATAATTATTTACGATACAGAGAGACATTATTAATTTTCGCGCCTACTTTCGCTTCATGTATGTATTAATTATTATATAGAGAAACTAACTCTACATATAAATTGCATAATACAACAATCTGATTGCCATAGTTGGTCCATTTCCAACTGCGCGTACCTGTATCTTGCTCTCCTTCGACCTCGCCCTTTTGTCCCTCGGTGACAGCTTCCTTATCGCGTTCGCTCTCAGTGACATCCTCTATTATCGGCTCCTGAGTGAGAGGCAGATGCTCCGGAAGCGGCGCGGGCCTCACGAGACTGTCAGGTCGACACACGTTGCCCTCGCGGCGCATCGGGGCGGTGCATTGGCAGCGACCGAATAAATCCGGAATGAGAAAATCGCAATGCGACTCGGGGTCCCAGAGACGACAGTGTGCGTGCTCGTAGCACACCTCGCCGAGTTTGGCCGCTGCAAATTAGATTCGTTTCTCGGTTTACAAACTTGCGCGCGCTGCGAATCAATCTCGTTTGCCAAGAGCCATCGTTACATCTGTCGGGAGGAGTAAAACTTTTTCCCTATTGAAATTTAAAACAGAACAGTCGAGCTACGCCCGTAATCCCCGCCCTACGGCAAACAATGACGTTTCCTGGTAAAAATCAAAGTTCAATTTAAAAAATTTAAATAAATAACCTGCGTTTGTTCTTATTACTGTAAATTTGTTGTGTCTGTTCTAATATTTACAGTTAATCTATTTACAATTACTTCACAATCTTTTTCTTCCTTTCTTCGTATTTTCTTTTGAAACAATCAATACCGAGGTTGCAAACGTTTTATTGATACATAATTTACGTTGAAAATTTTTTGAAAAAATATACCGTAACTCAACTATAAAACTTCTGTAAATAAACAAACGCGTACACTCGTCCCTCGATTTATGCGGTTGAGAATCACGTAAATGGAGTGTGCCAATACAAAAAAAGTGCATAAGAGAAAAGCTCGTGCGTGTGTGTGTTGTAAAAATATTTATTTCGCAAATTTGCACAAGAGCAGCAATAATAAAAGTTCAGGAAAGCAAATTTAAATTTAATTCATTGTCGCTGTCAGCACAGTACTCTAAAGCAGTCAAACACACTCTCCTCTCCAATTGTCTCCCTCAATAAAAATGTCACCGGTGGGAAAATATTTAGCAAATTATGTGACGAAATCTGGATGAAACTTGGAATGCTGGAATTATAACGTTCATATTTCGAACAACATATGCGAAAATGGAGGCCTTTCATCAAATATTGATCAATATTTGCACAATTTATTTCTAAATAGTACGTCAGCAAAACAGATGCATTTTGGCGAATCGCCTTGGCAGAATATTTGCACAAGTAAATTGCTGTCGTGTTACGACGAGCTGCCGCTACGAGGCGTCTCATACTCGTGAGTAAAATTCACGCGAGTCGAGAGAAAAGCAGGCCCTGCGGTAAATACGTCCCACGTTTTAAATCTCTTTAAACATTTAGTACACGTAACTGTGTTGCTGGGCAATTTTGCTTCTAAATGTCGAAATAAATGTGCACGATTCCCTAAATTGAGATTATCAATTTTTAGGCAAATACCATTTGGAAATTTTATTCCTACAGAACCGCTACGTTTTGACGAATCACTTTAATGCGATCATTGTGAAATCTCCTGCTTTTGGACGATGCAATTATTACACAATATTTGTGACATGTTTCTATCGGAGATTTGGCACTTCTACTTAATTGAGTCTCCACGTATCTCTTTGAAAGACGTATGTAATTTCTGACTGCGTAAAATAAGAAGTCGCGTAAAACGTGAACCGCGCGTAAAAAGTACCGCGTACACGGAAGGATTATTTACCCATGTAAGAAGGCGCGCGTAAAAAGTAGCGCGTAAATCGCGAGGGACGAGCGCATTGTTTTTCTCTACGCAAGATGGTCCGCTCGTGAAGGTATATCGTCAATGTATTTTTACGACGACAATAAATAGCCGAGATCGTTAGCGCAGAAAGTCGCGGTGATCCAGGCATCGAAAACGGCGCAATAACCGGCTGTCAGCGATCGAAACCGACTCTCAATAAATCAAGAGAGAGCGAACGATCCCTCGGAATGCATTTCCGAGGTAGCCAGCGCGCGCGTGTGCGCCGCGTTCGATGAGCCGAGAAGGAGAAGATCACATAAATTAGAATTTTCTCTCCGCGGGATACTCTAACTACGCTTCGCCTGGCTATTCATCGTCGATCCTTTCACCGACGTGCGTCGTTCCACGTCGCTAATGATCGCCTTAATGTCACGCGAAGACAGCTACCAACGGTAACGTCAAGGAACACAAGCGGATATCTTATTATGGTGCCTATCGATCCATCGCGGTGTATTAATATACCGATTAAATATGATGTCATTGCACGTTATTGTTTCGCAATCGATCGGAATTAAGTACCTACCCTTGAATTCTGCCTCTCGTACTCTCTAAAGTCAATCAGTGAATTATCACTGGAAACGGCGAATGGTCACGGAATTGCAGCTATAAGTATACTACTGAAAATTGCAGTGGCAAATAACTGTAAGTCGGCGACTATTCACTGTTTTCAGTGATAATCCACTGATTGACTTTCAGAGTGTATTCTGAGTTCAATAATGGATTCTAAGAATCTATAGATATATAAATTTCTATAAGAAAAAATTGGATTTCCGTACACGGAAAAAAAATTATGTTGTACGAACAAGATGTCAGCGTAATTGAAATAAAATCGTTGAAGCAACATCAGTATTAATGAGTGAAAAGCATCAGATAGTTGTGTTAGTAATCTGGAAATCTAGTTCAACGCTTAAAATTAAAATCCACAGCAAATACAATTGAACGAACGATTTATGTTTGTGGCAGCCCGTGACGTTAACGTTTAATTCGAGCGACTTTATTGGTTTTTAAATTCGACAGCACTTTTTCCGCCTATCCATTGATTCTGATTTACAGTGATTTTGCAGCACGCAATCGAACTTGTGTGATATTCTTCACCGATTGTGGGATAATCTCGGTATCAATATACGCTATCGGTGTTAATCAATATACACTTACGGCCCAAACAGGTGTGCCTGCGAAACTGCAAGTGTCCCTCCTCGCATCGGCACACGCCCTCGAGGCAGCTGCTGTTCGCCACTTTCAAGGAGCATTGTTCCTTCACGAGGCAATCGTTGCCCAGTAAAGTCGCTGCAACATTCCAAAATATCAGCAAATCTTACGTTATCACGTGAAGCAGCGCCTTCGCTAAATAGCAACGTAGCATATTCCTTAACGAGTTTTCTTCGCGTACACCCTCAGAAAGGATTTCTGTTACCGACCTCATTTAGCGTAAAAATAAGACAATATCAAAATAAAATCAATAATTCTTATTCTCCTCTATCGAATTAAAAAAAGATTGACTTACTATTGTATATTGAGACGAGAGTAACTTATATCAATGTAAGTTTATATATTCTTGCGTTTAGAATAAATTTTCCCTCCATCTTACAACGCACGAAGTTGGCACCGCGATACTCGGCAAAAGACGATACATACTATCGTTTTATTATAAGGCCTGTTCTTTATTACTGCACTACTGAACTAGTGCAATAAGTTAAAATGAAACAAATAGATTACCTCTCATTCCAACTCATTGCACCAGTGTGCACTAGTTCAGGAGTGCAGCAATAAAAAACAGACCCATAGATTTTAGAATTTTTCATTTAAGATTAAAATATTCCTTTCTCTACAATAAATATGATTGGCACTATCGATCCTATTTTATGATACATTGAAGAGTAATAGCATTGGTTCCGGAAATTTTTTCCGTGGGTGTAACGCGACGCCATTGAGTTATAACTAGGTCTTTGAGATTTTCTTGCGCTACGAAGCGAATGTTCAAGGACATCGATTTCGGTCGTGAGGCGGGAGGGAAAGAGAGCCGCGGCTGGAGGAGATAGAAGGGTACTTGGACGGACTTACATTCGAGACAATGAGTTCCATTGTAGCCGGCGAAGAAGGGCTGACACCGGCAATAACCCAAGTAGCAGTGACTATTAGCGATCCCGACCTCGCACTCCCGGTCTCGGTTGCACTCGTCGCCGAGCCTCACGCTCGTCGAAGTGGGCGAGGATGAGGCCAATCTCTACAAGAAGATCGAAGATGAATTCCGCTCTCCCTTTTAGCGACCCAGTTTTACGAGCTGGACAAGAGCTAAGCTAAGCGAGAAGCTTTTGGCTCTGGAAGGCTGCGAGCGAGCTCCGTTCAACAACAAGTTACAATTTCTTTGTGCCTATGATATTTAATTAAATATCTAGTGTTATTATAATACATTTACAGTTTTAGGTCAGACAAATATAAATTTTAAAGTTTCAAAAGAGAAAGGAGGACGGAGAAGGAGAGAATGTCTAATGTAACAGTAAGAATTACATAAATGTTTTAATAGTAAACTCAATATTTAAATTATATTAATAAATTAATATTTTTAATTGGATAATAAATTCAGTTCGATTCGTCATTAAAAGCGTTGCTGGATTTTCGAATATCTTCTGTTTCCTTTCATCTTCGAAAACGTAGAAATAAATTTGCGCGTTTGTCGTCTTTCTTGTTTTAGTTTTTATTACAGCTAGAACCTCTTTGAAATTATTGTCTCTTTCTTTCGGAAAGCTCAATGAACAGTTCTAACATCATAATTAAATTGACACGGAAGATTTGAATCAATTATTTAGCGTATCATTTAGTCGAAACGACTCAACGCCGTCGTTTCGAATCGATCCAACGGCATCGTCACACAATAATGTCGAGAAGATGGCTGAGAGCTACCAGAAAGTCTGCTAAGCGATTACGACTAACAGCGCGACGATTTTCTACATTCCCCTTTTCCCTGGAGAGCATTTCGATGCACACAATCGACGCCATTCGTCGCGCTACACAAAAAGTGCACGGCCAGACAATTGCGTTCCGTTTTACGAACTTCCGTTTCTGCAATCATACGGGAAAATAGTTTGCAGGCTCCCGATTCAAGCGCGCACAAAAGAGACGTGTGCGACAAACCGTTTTTCGGGAAATTGGAGATTTTCTCGTCGCCGAGGCTTCCCGCGCGAAGATGTACGGGGCTTCGAAAATGGGGAAAATTTTTCAGCCGACGCAGCGAGTCCACGAAATGTGGAGTACACGCCGCGTAGTTTTTGTATCATTCGTAACCCACATACGTCGGTGCATCAAGAGTCAAGGCCGAGACGCCTCGACGTGCATCCTGGCGCTTTTCACGGTGAATGCGCCTTACTTGCGCGTTCTCGTGACCTTCCAGAAGCCGCTTCCGCGGTTGTTCTTCTGCGTTCGAACGCGTATTGCACCGGGTGGGTGCCAAGCGAATACGTGCCCAATGCAGTTTTCCTTCCTCTCTCCCTCTTCTTCCCTCACCCTAATCGCTTCCCGGTTTCCCACGATCTACAAACAATGCTTGCGCACTTTTGTGCACATTCGCTAGCCCGGTACACTCGACCAGCAACGTGGCATCCATTTATGTCGGAGAAATTAACGTAATGTTATTTACAATATCGTTGCACGGGACGAATAGAGTTTCGTCTGCTTACAGTCAACCTAATCGAAATTAACGTGAGTATCTTCGAAAAAGAGTTTCAATTTTATCTTATTGTTAGTCCGAAAGTCCGAAACATTCTTCACTTGAAAATATAAGTTCTTATTCGCGTTGAAAGTAAATCTTACATTTTTATAAATTTTATTTCTATAACTTCCAGGACCTCCCTTTATTTCCGAAATGATCTCCACGTAAAGAAAATTGGAGAACGCGATATTTCTGCTTGACACATGCAGAGACTTTTCTTTTAAAATTTTATGAGAGTTTTTTCGAAATTTTACCATACACTTTACTAATAATTATAAACTTTATTAGTAAAATGTATGGTAAAATTTAGAAGAACTAATAAAATTCTTGGAAACGCCATGTCCCACGATTACATGATTTCCAGGATAATTTTGAATAGGAGATTCTCTCCGTGTGGTATATTCGTGTATTATACATGCAGTCTTCCTCGATAAAATTTCGTGGCCTTCTTCTCTCGCTTCTCACGTCGCTTCTTTTCACAGGAACACGGAAATACGCGGCAGCGAGGAACGCGGAGCACCGTCTAAATCGCCGGTCTGCCCCGGTACTCACGGTGGAAGTGGAAATGGAAATGGAATCGCGCGTACCCGCGCCGCAGATTCGCGGCTGCACGCTTTAAGCACCGCAAGGTGACACGGCATCCGTTGCCCGCGCGTGCACCGTTAGCGCACCGTGCGCCTCAAGCTGGGCGGCGTGCGCAATATTATTCGGAGGGAAGTCGGCGGATCCTCGCCGACGAGCGCCCGCGGATAATGCTCGAGCCGTACACAGTCGTAAGATTTTATTGCCCGAGCCGAGATTGCCGTCGCGTCTAAAACGCGCCGCGACGGATTAAGGGGATCCTAAAGCCGTCTGTTTTATCGACATTCTTTGTTAGACGTAATCTTTTAATTGGCTTTGTAGAAATGCAAAACTCTTTTGCGGAATTTAAGCACGCAGCACAATCTAGACTATGCTGGTCGACTTTATGTAAAAAACGAAAGAGAATTTAAAATTTGACTAATTTTTGGTACACTTGACGACAATATTTGCTTGATACAGGGGGGGGGGGAATTCTACAATAAATATATACAAAATGAGACCAGCATACTCTAGGGACAACATATAAGAACAATATCGTGCAATTAGAACTAATTGTAAGATTAATAGCCTAGAAATAAAATACTTCTAATAAACGCAAGTCCAGAAATCCAAGTCTAGAAGAAGAGAAAATGAGCAGTACGGCGTGTAGAAATAGTTGCAGGCTTTTTCCAGAAAGGTTGCTGCCAAACATCTGTCAGATTGTCAGTAAAGCCATGGTGTTGGCGATGCTAGAATTCGATCCAAAATCTCGGTCTGAGCAATGTGTAGCTAATAAATTTGCTGCTTTTTCGTAAAAGTTGCAAATTGATTGGCTATAAATTTCTCGGATCGGGTAGAACTTGGAATTAAAAATGTCGATAATTGACGTTTTTAATTCCGTCTCGTATCTTATCGACACTGATTGAGTTCGCCAGCGGCTTTAGGATCCCCTTAACGATCCCAATGCGCCGATTGCCGTATCGGAGAATTGGACTCTGTCGCTCGTGTCCCGCGGACATTATATATCTCCGGAGAGTGTCCGGAAATCCCGCCTTTATCCCGTCCCGAAAGGAAAAGAAGCCGCGCAAAGAGATCCTTAGCGCCTCGCATTTTTCCAAGCTGTTGTTCCGCCGGTCTCGCTCGGATCTTTCCCCTGCGTTTTATTGCCCTTCTTACGAGCGGAAAGATACAGCGGGAGGAAGTATGAAGTTTGCCGAGGGTAAAGATATTATCTTCGGAAAATAGATCGCAATTAAGACGAAGCGCGAGAAGGTGGACTGAAAGCGCTTTCTTCTGTTCGTTTAATCAATACGTGTGACTACGATAATACGTATCGTTAGATGACGTTCATTAAGGCTAAACGCGTTTTGTTACCGACAGAGACAAATATTAATCTTTACGCTCGTAAATTTTATCGTTGGCTTTTATGCGCAAACTAATACCAGGACAGGGCGCGGATTGCACAGTAAAACATTTTCGTACCGAAAACACTGAGTTTAGAAGTGTGGAAAACTATTTTTTCGTCGACCTTACATCGTTTCGCACATATTTTCAAAGAGACGTTTTCTTTTACGCAGGCTTTTAAGTTTATTTCTAACGGTACAGTAATATTCTGTCATGTTATCCCGAGGTTGGACGCTAAACGTTTTGCACAGACAAACTACAGAACTTTTATATCAAATAAGCCAAGTTACGACCTGAGAAGTCGCCAATAATAATGTAATAGTTCACTGTCAGTAACCAAAAGCGTTTAGCATCACCTTAAACGTTGTCGAATATTGGCGTCATATAATATTGCAGATTGACGAGTAATTTAATCGTTCAATAATTTTTTAATCGTCGATCAATCACCACCATCTCTCGTTTCAATTTTATAATATAAAACGATTAAAAGAGATGGAGAGAGGAAAACGGGTACCCATCGACATCCATAGCGGTATCTCAGGACGTAAGGATTTCGTATTTAAGTATCTAATATGCAAACTTGTACAACATAGACGTGTATACAAGTATGGAATTCTTCAAAGGCTTTCCTTAAGATCTCAGGGCTTGACCATTCAACCTTCCCGCGCCGCAGGAAGTACGCGTAGATACCGTATACATAGATACCGTAAACCCGAAAACATTTTCGATTTACCGTCCGATTTATTATCCATTCACGGGATAACTTTTGCGCTGTGTCCCGTGCGCGGCAGGCGGTTTTCAGCGGTCGAACGGTAAAACGGTCGATCTATCGGATGCGCTCGCGCAACGGGGATGCGTATCTAAAGGGAACGAAAAAAAAAGGAAAATGCGTGCGCGTCTCGCGTGCAGACCGGGAGGCAAAATTGCCGCGCATTCTGAGTCACGAGCAGCCGTCTTAAGCTTGACGGCGATAATCCGTAAACGCGTCGCTCGGGCGGAACCGCGGATTCGTCGAGCGGACGGTGGTCGTCCGTTGGTGAATAATGGACGCGCCTTCCTGAATGGAACGCGTTATTTCAACGTCGACGACGACGACGACGACGACGACGACGTTCGCCGTCTCCTCGGGAAAAACCGAATGTAAAGGCACGTGCGTATCCGCGCTCGCCAAGCGTCACGCTTGGTCTTCGCGGAGCGCGAGAGCTCGTTACTTATCAATCTGTGTATATCCGTTTGCTTTCCCTGCGAGACACGCGATTGCGAAGCGTGTACGGTTCGTCTCTTACACGGGGAGCAACAGTCGCACGTAGTCGCGCATACGTGGGACATTAAAGGGATTAATCCGCGCAGGCGAGAAGGAAGGGAAGGGTTAATCGGCCGTTGCACGCAACGCCGCGTGCACGTGGAAATACAGAGCACGAGCCCAGCGTGCGTGGCGCTGCACCCAAGGGTGGCAGGATGGGATTTTATATTCAACGCGGACGCCTCCCGCCGGCTCTTAATTACGCTTAACGAGCCGAGCCAATTTAAACGCAGAACAGAGCAACCACGGC